TTATGTTTGTTTAAGTGCTAACTAGGCCTGCCAGGTACCTATATGAAAGTAGGTAGATATTGTTGACCTGGTGATAAAGTAGTATAGTTATTATCAGTACTTGTTATGAAGTAGAGAGATATTTAAGAAAGTTATTTATTCATAAGCCTACTATATAGTAATATCTCCTCTTATCACTGTAACTAGGATTTTATTAGCGATATTATTTTGCCATTAGGCCGTTCCAACAGGAATTGTGGGTATATACCACTCCCTACTATTGTCTACTTGGTGAATAGTATGTCAATATTTAGTTTGGTGGTTAGTTTAAGTTTAGCAAGGATTAACCCTAACCACCTCATAAACCACTCTAGCATATAGTAATGGTTTAATAAATACACTACTGTGAATATTGAAGTGTTAATAGAAATCTTTATATAGATCAGATTCTAGATATAGAGGACTATAGATAAATATTTGTTTTAGAAATATTGGCTGAATATAAAACTATTGTGTTGATATATAAACACACTATGCTTGTATATTGATCACAGTATTACCATGCCTACTTCATAATTGATTTTTATAAAAGCATTTTACAGACAAGTTGTCTCTATTGCATGTATGTCATTCCTTTAATGGGCCAATATTGGTGAAAAACATCAATATGATCATTTAATTAAAGTTGAAAAATAACTCAAGGCCTTCCCACTTCTCTTCCCTATAGGGCCCAATTACTAGTTAACTGGCAAATAACATGAAATCTCCTTGACTAGGGAACAATGGCTATTTATATCAACTATATCAATTTACTGTATAGATTGAAAGAGGTCAGTAGAAAGCAGTAACTTAAACCACATAAAAAATATCCAGTTGATGTAAAACAGGTTTGAAAAGACTAAAATACCACTAGCCTTTCCCAACATAATCATTACCATATTAAACATTTCACATTTGTAGCAAGGTGAAGGTTGTTTGCTAGTAAATCACACAGAGAAATACTCACACATACATGTTGTTTAAAGAGACAACACTGTACCATCTAGTTTAATTTAACACACTCCACAAATGTCACAAGTCAAGTCTGGCTAGAGATGTAAATGTCAGAACTATCACACTACACATAAAACCTTAATTTAGTCAGTCACACTATCTTTATAGAATAATACATGTTCATTTACTGTATTAACTCATGCGTTGTCTAGTGATTCAACTTAACAATTACATTTTAATGACGACAGCTCAGTAACATGATTGAATCATGTATTTTGCACATTGATTATTGGTAATTGACATGTTACGGCAGTACGCTAAATGTTCTATATGAATAAATGTGAAGGTTATTTTATGTAAGCCATCGATAGTTTACCTGTACTTTTACTGCATGAAATTTAATCAGGCTATTGCGCTTTTGATAAAAATGTTAACTGTAGGTAGCAAGAGGAAGAAATTACAACATGTGGGCTATGAAAAGAAAATGAAAGCATTACTCATATCTCAAGGAAGCAAGGAAAACATTGACTTAGAACATACACAGACTGACTGCATCACACACATGTAATTTAAATACGCTCAACAAAAGCCTGATAGGAAGAATGCATGTATATGTCTCTTTTTCATTATCCCCTCATTACACACACAACTAAAATAGACCTGAAAAACTCATTAACTCAGAAACACGCAAAGAGAATTATAATATTAATGATTTCTGAAGTCAGTATAATTACCACAATTTCAAAACATTTTTAATTTCCACGTAGGTTTCAAATTTTAATGAAGTGTTTAAAGAACTTAAAACATTTTATTTATAAGAGAAGTGTATTTTTTTATACATTATAATCTAAATACTGAAATTAGTTAATATGAAATAAAAATACTGCAACATCAAATAGATCATGTAACAACCAGAAATACTTTAATACCTGTACTATGATTTAATTAATAGCAAATTGAAATACAAAAAAAAAAAAATATTTTCCATATTGGGAGTAGACATAGCCATAAAATTGGATTTCAAAATATCAGAATCATCTCTATAGAAGTACATAAAGGGCTAAGTCATTATAATAATTAAAGGTACAATGTCCAAGTAGATATATAGCATGTATTATTCTTATCAGGTCCAACAAGTTTAACTGTTTGTAAGGCAGTAATCAACAAACTAGGACTGATTATAGTCTTTACTTATTCCAAAAAATTAAGTGTTTACAAGTTCCAAATTCAAGTGGGTTTATCGGTCACATCTCTATTTAAAAAACAACACAGCTTACATACAGAAGTAATACATCTTCCCGCATTGTTACATTACTATCTAGAATATTTACGCTAACTCATGAAGAATGCCATTTACTTACTTGCCTTCACCACGTGCTGCTGACTCTCACCTCCGTGCTATCATACAGCTAAACACAATAATATATCTCTAGTCCTGGTTAGGTAGCGTGTAGAAGGGAGCACAATCAAGGAGTGTTTTCCTTGAGATAGTGCAGTGATATAATACATCACAGTTTGACCTTAATCTTTCTTCTAATATTAAACTAAAACTACATATGATTTTCTCATTCAACCAACCAGAACATACATGAGAAACAGTTTAAAATCAACTCAACAATGTGAGAAGATATAAACAAAATCTATTAGTTGATTTAAGATGATGAATAATTTGTTGTACTTTTTATGGATCAATATCAGGTTTACACACTCAGCCTCATATTACATATTTATTGTCATTATGTCACGTCAGTCTTTACAAAATAATCACACTGAGGAGTAGGATGATTGAATAAATAATGTATTTCATGTTATAAGTTAATGCATTCACAAAGATTTAAATTGCAAATGTACGAAAGGTTTTAATCATGATTTCTGCCTATTCTAGTGATAAAAATCATGCACATTTTCATGACTGATTATCGACATAAAAATAAAAATGTCTGATGCTCATTGCTCAAAGGGTGCTGCTTTAAGTTGACTGAGACAACCATCTATTCAAATGTAATTTCCTCTGCTATTGAATAGAATGCTATGTACATGTATAATATCTTGAATTGGTTCAATGTGATATAAAAGCACTATGACTATATCAATAGAGTGTGTTATATTGAAGGAACTATTTTCTAAAATCAGGGCTGAGCACATTCAACTACATTTATCAATAGATGTCTTTGTTAAAGATTAATAATGATTGACATTAGAAGTTGTGATATTTTTACCTGTTGTAATAAAGTTAATGTTAGACAGGTAGGATGTGTATAAACAACCTTTATTTAACCTTGAGTTATAAAAGCATTTATATGTACATTTCTAGGTGTTGGCAGGCTACAACTTGTTTCTAACCATTGATTATACAGTAACCAACAAGTGAAGTGTAGTCTTTCATTACAAAATAACCACAATAGATCGCCTGTATTATTACACCAGGAGTTATTAAAGTTTCAGTAAAATCTTGTCAACCATATTAGAAATAAATTCTAGCTTTATTAATACAACAATCTGTCTTATTTCTCCTTAGACCACAATATTGCAAAATACCCAAGGAAAAAGGTCATAATTTAATCTCTGTCCTTATCAAGATGTCACGTGGACCAATATATAATGTGGCTTTGTACACAAATCTATAAATCTTTAGTCAGGTTGATAAAAAAAAAATTGGGTCACTAATCCCGGACGGATATGAATATGTTAATTGGTAGGAAAGTGATAAGATCTATTCAGCAAGTTAATTCAATATGTAAATATATCTCTCAAGCTTGATGAGTCAGAGGAAATTCCTACTCTACATGGTATATATCACATGTATAAACATTATCAGTTAATGTTCTACACCCCACCACTGGCTGTCTACATTAAATACATTCAAATTGAAAGCAAACAGTATTAAATCTCCTTTTTACTCAACTCACTAAACACACATCTTAGTTATTCTCAGTTGCTTTAATCTAATAATCTGTATATTATTGGTAATTATATGAGGAAAATCTAATTACACTGGTCTAACTTTCACCTTTAATATTCTATAAATATAATATGATAGACCCACTGGGCTTTGGCAACATCATTAAAACATTCTGCTTTATAGTTCATTTTCTCTTGCTGATGTATTTATACTTGAGTGATATTAATGTGACTACCTGGCCAGCCATACATGTACTCTAGTAATTCTAAACATAAAAAGATAAGGAGTGGGGAAGAGTTTAGAAGAGAAAAAACATGAGTGGAAAAGCCATATTTAAAACAAGTAGGATTGGCTGATGTTTAGTTTACATTAGAAGATAATGTTTCTACCAGAACTCTATGTCCTCCAATATGTACCAATGGATCTGTTTTTTTAAAACAAGTAAACACATTAGTGGAAACCTACACATGTTCGCTTTATAAACAAGTCTATCCAACAATCATTTATAGCTTTAACACAATATATTCACATTGTAATTACAACCAAAATAATTAACAGCAAATAAATCACAATACATGCATGTATACAGTTATTTGTAAAATATGAACCTTGGATGTACCAACAATAACCAAGTGCCAATCATCTTTCACCGATGTCATTAATAAAATTTTAGTTGAAGATGTTTGTAAATAAAACATCAAACAAAATATAGATTCTAACAGTAAACTTTAATAGTTAAATATTTATTTTTGATCCCAAAATGCATCAAATGACCAGAACATAAAATTTATGTAAAATCAGTATATAATCACTGGAATGAGTGGAAACATGAATAAGCTTTTTGCCCATTGTAAATGCTAAACCTATTCAAATACAAAAGCAAAATAAAATTTTAAGTTCTATGTGTAAGCATACCCTGCCTTGAAAACAACACCTGTCACTGTTTATAGTTGCAGGAAATCTTAACACAACCAACAACAAATTATCTTTTAATAAGACAAAGATATAATTTACTAGACTAGTCGTGTAAATTACTAAAGACCTTTATCTTATCTGATTCAATCCCAAGTTTGAATGCTATTCTTTTTAATAAATCTGATAACAAAATAAATACATGAGTACATACCGGTTGCTCTTTAGGTGCGCTGTTGTCTTTGCGTGGTCGTCTTCTTGGTGCAATTCCAACTTCAACACCACGTAAAATTAAATCCACGACTAAATAAAAGAGAGGAAAAACCAATTTGATTAATATAGCATCTTTTGTAGGAAAATAACTTTGAACAATAAATCTATACTAAATATATAATGTAACAAATCAATATCAATATAAGATATAGGTGTTATATATACAGGCTTGTCAACTTATTACAAAATCTGTGTGAACATGATATGTAATAAAACTGTACTAGTTTGACTGGTAATATAACTGTCTAGGTCTTTTAACACTCTAGGATAAGAGCCAGAAAAACACTAAATAACATGAAACAAACAGACACAATTACTTCTACTTTTATCCCTTTAGACTAGAAACCATTACTGGTTAATTTACAGACTGTCTCTATGTAACATAGCTGTTTATTACTTCCATATAGATCATTGAACGCAAACAATCCCTATATTATCTTTATATCTATCGATAAAATTCAAGTGTCATGCTCAACCAATCATCATCTTCATCATATTGAGAAAGCTTGTGTTGTTATAGATAATTTACTGTCATAGAGATATTACCAAATAATAGCAACTAAAATATAATCACATCATTCAAATAGACTATGGAGTCATGGTAGTTTGATCAAAATAATCCATAATATGTTTCTAAAGTCAATTGCTAACACTATTAGATTTACTCTAGTACGCTATGCAGATATTACTCTCCACTTTCTAACAATGTAACATCAGTATAAGATTGCAGCAGGATATAGAAACAAATAGCCTCAGTAATAATCTTGTCTTACTGCCACTCCTACATGTAATGTTAATAGTGGCAGCCTATAAACTTGTAATAGCTGGTTGAGTCATACCGGGGGTTATACATCATGTCACAACAATATCTCACTCAAACAGCCTCAACACTGGAAACAGAAACCAGCCTAAAAATGATCATATCACACACATTAAAAATTTAAATATTCTGCCTGCTTCTACTTTATCAAATCAAATTGAGGGAAGTCAGTGGGTGAAAAATGATATACAACTGACTCTAGCTGTTGTTATATTTTAAGTTAAAGAGATTTATGACTACATGTTTTTGTTTATCTTACAAAACAATATGGAGATAAAACCAACAAATTGAAACAAGTAGGTAGAAACTTAAGATAGTAGATCACATTACTTGATCATGGTCAGACCAATCCTGGAGTAATAATGGTTATTAAATTTACTTCTCTCTATCTATGTATTTCTATACAACACAAATAACTTGAAAATGGGTCACTGACTATCTTTTTCCAAATAAACATTTTCTATTTACAGACATAACATTGTGTAGTGTTGGAGTTTTAATAAACCTGGTATATCAATAGCCACATCTAACCATAATATTTTACATGCGATCTATACAATAACGAGATTAAATCAGGTTTCAATTAATCTCTAAAATTGGTTAGCAAAGGAGAAAAAAAGAAACAGCCATAAGAGGTCCAAATATAGTCTGGAGCCTTGAATAAGCTTGTCAGTAATTTTTGTCAATAAACTGTAAAAGAGTTCTGAGATTCGTTGTGGTGATTATACCATTTTAACAGTTGTAGCCAAATTATTTTTATACAATAAAATGTTTACCAATAGATAATCTAGACTACAAAGTATTGTTACAGCACAAAAACACAGAGACAAGCAATTACATTCTGCTATCTATTGGCAACTTGTGTAAGAAAATGGAATTCAATTTCCATTTTGATGGCTTGTGATTATGTGTTGTATGAAAGTTGTAGGTTGAATCAGTCATTCAGGCAATCAAAATCAATAATAGACATTGACTTGTGGCCAAGAATGTTGGCAAGATGGATGTAGCTGCCACTAGAGCATACAAGCAATTAACTACCTGGCAAGACTCCCAAAAAACACCACTTGGCTCACAATATCATTGCATGTAACACAATTTAATCAACAATAATAATCTAATTTTACACTTGTTACCCTAGTATGTGAACAAATGTCAATCATGGCTTCAAGTCAATGGTGTAACGATCACATTTCATATTTAATCTCATGTCCATATTGCATGATATGAGAGCATATTAAAGTTGATTAGTAACCTACTAATGATTTTGGTTTTACGTTACATACATCATTAATGCTTGCCATTAAGCAAAAGTTGAAGTTAAATGATATCAATCTGAGATAATGGTTATGTGAGATATGTTTTTCCTCTCTTTTTATGACACCTCATTCATGAAATCGTTGAATATAAGTTACAGGAGCCTCATCCATGAAATCTAAACTAAAATAATTTATAACAATGTGTCATGTTTATTGGCTGATAATTAAAATCAGTCAATGAACAGCTTGTATACGTAAAATATTTTATTTCAAGATGTTGTGCATAAGGCTCCTGACTGTTAAATATCAGCGGATCATTACTTTGTTATTGTGGATATTGATTACTGGTATTAAAATTTAGTTTGTTGCTTTGAACGGGTTATAGACCCAAATCTTAATGCAGCTGACCAATGGTCGCAATCAAAACATTACTGTAGTTCCTTGTTCTCTTTAATTTCTCGTCTTAGAATGAGTGATACCTTAAACCAGTGATTCTCAGCCAGTGTGCCGCGAGATTTTCCTAAGTGTGCCACAAAAATTTGAACGGCACACTAAGAAAAATTAATGCGAAAAACCATGCGATCCCAATTGAGTATTGACTGGTGTCTACTGGTAAGTTCATAGCTCTGTGTTTTTCATTTAGTTTGAGTCACTCTATGTGCCTATGACTAGTCTGTGTCTACGGTTGTATGCCATCTATGACTTGCTATGTTTTTATTTAGCAAAATTCAAATATTTTTCATATATATTTAGCCAGGTGTGCCGCTATTTTTTCATGTGTTCCAAGATGTGCCGTTGGCAAAAAAAAGGTTGAGAACCACTGCCTTAAACATACATTATGCAAGAGCTAAATCTGCCTATTGCAGGTCTTTCTTTAGGCCTGATATGATATCTAAATTATTATCTAATGCCATCGATAGCCTGCGATATTTAGTGGATTGGAATACATTTTTTGAAAAAATAATTAAACATAAAAATTATAATCGAGACTTTGTTTTTTATCGTACCGACTTTAGTAATGATGTTCGAGGCTAGTCTAAAAACTCAAAAACTAATATCTCGGTTCAGTAGAGCAATCTGACTGAAATTTTCAGCATATTCTATTTACCTTATCTATTTACAAACTATTATAGCGGGAACTGTCAACTCTATCTAATCTTCCATAATGCCACCCCTTTAAAGATGTATTTATTAGGTAAGATTTAGATAAATAGCTGACAGTTCTCACTATAATAGTTAAAAAAATAGATAATGAAAAGGGAATTTGTTGAAAATTTCATTCAAATTATTTCATCCTGAGCGGAGTTATCGTCGTTTGCAGAACAGTGTAGTCTCGATTTTCAGTTGTCATTGCTACCGTTGTTACGATAATGAACAAAGTCTCAATTATCCATTTTTAAATTAAATCATTAAATGCTAATCATATTTAAATCTGTTGTAAATCAAATCCATCCCAAGTTCTACAGAGTTGATTATGGGCATGGCATGTATATACATGTCTAATTAATGATTTATATACCATTTGAGCCCAAATGAAAGATCTGCATTAGGCAGATTTGGCTCTTGAATAATGCATCTTTAACATTCTTAAAATTAAAACGCAAAAAAATAAATAAGATTTATTTCATGAGTAAACACTTACCACCATCATCAATTAATCGCATCTGAATGAGGGCTGGATCTTCATTATGTTCTTCTAACACAGTATCATCAGTTACAGCTAAACACTATAAAAGATATATTCACAAATAAATAACTGGTAGTAACATGACATCAATGTCATTTAATCTTTGTTATTTAATATTCACATCACGATATTATGTCATGATCTATGGACTAAAAGATTTCCTCCATTTACATGTATGTCAATCATAGCCCACTACAAAATTTTACTTATTTAGTGGTGTATAGAAATATCCTGTATGGTGGCTATGTGCACTGTGTATGTAGAAATAACTGTAAATTAATTACCTCTGCATGAAAAATGTTTTCATATAAAGGAAGTGAATTTTACATTATATCATGTAGTTGTATTAGAGTGTGAGGAAAAAAGCCTTGCAGCTTGAAGTATTTAAATAAAGTAAAGCTGGCTTACGTCACAATTTCCTTTCTACAACATGTACAACACGGTCATTTAGGTCAACAGTTCATAGTCAACAAACTTTACGCTCTACAACATGTTTTCTTTTTTTTAAAAAAAAGAGGTTGGTTGGTTGTCACACATAAATTACCTGGTGTTTTTGTGTAAATATAAACTACTCAAATTGACACCCATTTTATGTAGGAAGAAAGGTTTATTTTAGTATTTTTCATGACAGTTTGACAATAGGTAAAGCAGAAAGAAATTGACTCCCATATTTATAATTTAAAGCTTGAAAACTGACATTAGACAGGTTGATTAAATTTTCTCCTTGTGACCTTGTTTAAAACAAGACAGTTAAATATAAATATGATGTATCCGTCTAAATCTCAAACTGATAAAAACACTTAACAAATACAAGAAAATCACCTGATTTCTCAATCAAGATATAAATTGATATGTGATGTATCTTTCTAAACAAAATGTGAAAACTGACAACAATTTTTCTAGTAAATGTAATCTCAAACCGATATAAACAATTAACAATTGCAAGAAAATAATCTGAATTCTCAATCAAACTCCAAATTTGATATCTATATTGAAAGTAAAATCCAAGTCATTCACCACATCACAGTATTAACCCAATGAGACATGAAAAAGACAAATTTTGTACAACCGACAAACCCATAATTTATTTGACAAACCCTAAGTACCTAAGCACTTTAATCGACAGGAAGTACAACATAAATTCTCAAGGATACTGACCTATATGAAAAACCTATTGTTAAGGTAAAATCAAGCACATGCTTTATTGATCACAGATAATTTCTATAATGTGTATTTTTTTTCACAAACTACTAAAAAAATAGATTATATCACAAACTTGTAACAATCCTTCAGGCTTTCATCTTTTACCCCTTGACCTTTCTGTTTAGAATAAAATTATATTATCAAACAGAAATTTGTGCAAACATCACTTTCATGTGGCTTATAACATTTAAAGTAATTTTACTTTAACAACAGCTGTCATCGCTATAGTTTCCATTAAATCTTACAGAACACAAAAATATTTAACTCAACAACAAAATTCTGAATAACATTATAGTTTTAAAACGTAAAATCATTAACACTGTTCAATTGTACACATTTCAACAATGATAAATTATCAAAGAATTTGCAAGGTATTTTTTTTTATTCCACTTACCTAAACATACATGGTTTAAAATTGGCGGTATTAATATTTAAAGGAGCATTAAACCACACATAAAACAAGATGTTTTAAGACAGCAGAACCCAGTTGAGATTTGTAAAATATAAACATTGGTCATCTCAATGTCCCCGAACAAATAACACGATAAACAATAAGTTCTAATTTATCATTTCAGTCTGTGTGTCAAATAAAGTTCAAAACTTCAATGAAGAGAGAGAGCAATGGTCTATAGGTTGATCACTATAAGGCAATAACGGGTTTCAATCGGATGCAGGCTACTAGATGTTTACTGATACCTTCCTCGCTATGTTGACATTCTCAAGCAGCTACCATGCCAGTTCGCAAATGCTTTCTTTTACAGATGATTCAATATTTGCCACAACGTGAGTACCAAGTAATGTGAGTCTGGATCAATATTGTAGACTGCGTAATAAAAGCTACTAGACCTTAGTATTCTTGTATGTCAATACCTTAAGTAAATATAGCCCTAAGGAAATGTCAAGTGATTGGCCTGACAGAAAGAAAGCTTGTGTTTTGTACTTCTAGCGTATAATAATATATTTCTTTAAATAAACCTAGATATAACAAAGTTGGCTCAAATATTAATGTCATATTTGTACATAGAGGAGCTTTTGAATTTGTTTTATTATTCATCTCCTGGGAAAAGTCATGCCCAGTTATTACCATTGAACAATATGCTTAAAGTAGTGATTTGAATAGCTGAAGCACTTCAGTGGTAAAGTACTAATGGAATCACAATCTATATATCAGTGAACACATTGTCATTATAGCTTAATCTATATTTATATCAATATTCAACTCATCATATATTAATAAATGTATACACCTATCAACCATGAACACATATAATAATGCATGCAAATGCATATTTTATTAGTAAAAAACACCCAATGGAGTGTCATAATTCCATAGTAATGTAACATTGAGGAATTTCACTTGTCTATACAAATGAGCTGGGATGAAATATTTATACAGAAATGCCAATCAATAACAATGTAATCACTGTTATTTATAGAATGAATTAGGTAAACATCATCAGACCATTCTACATGTTAGTTGCATTACATGTCCAATCTATTATTCTTAATATAACCTTCATCAATATCATAAATTAACATAGACACATTACATGGTCATAAACATATCCCACTTGTCAGGAAAATAGTTTTGAAATCAATATTGTCAACATAGCTTCAGAGGCAAAAAAAACATATGACATATGCCCATGTCATTATGAAAACGGTTGTTGCATTTGGGATGAAAAGATATAATACAGAAATTGTTGTCTAATATATTTGTTAGGTGAAAGAAATGTCAACAATAAGAAATTTGCATATATTAGATAGACAGCATGTTATTATCATCTCTACAGCTACAGTATGATTATTGGTGACATCTTGTTAGCTGTTGGTCTAAATGTGACTAAGCAATATGATTTTAAACATACCTTAGTTGTATGATTATATGATTGTATAACTGCTGTATACCACTGTGTTGTACCTTCAGCTCGATATACTTCAACACGATATCCAACTAAAACTGTAGGCGTTGTTAAAATTATGCGTTGACCATCTTGATAATCTACCCAACTTTTCACTTCTTTTTTCAAGTCAGGATAAACATCTAATATCTTCTGTCTATTTTCATCCCCTTCCTACAAAATAAACACAATAAAATAAATATTTATTCCAATCTAAAAAGAGGTACAGAACAATTAGTAATCCAGTGATTAAATAAGTTAGGCCAGTTAATTTTTATTTTAAAGGTTACAACACATAATATTTTATTCATTTTGTGTACACCATGCTGACATAAGTGGTATAGACACGTGGATTCTCAATACCCTACCATAAATAAAAAAAAACATGAAATATGAACTTAATTTGCAAAGGTTTCCTGCGTTATCAAAAATGACCGACAATGAAAATTTTGAAGTGGAAGCCCTGCACACAACTAATCAATGTCTGTGTTGAAGTGGTGTGTCACAAATATGAACCTCCTGATAGCCCTGATAAATTATTCACTTCTATAAATCTCAAACTGCCTGATTAATTAATGGTAGTAAACATTAACAAGTTTTACTAGCATAAACTATACAGATCACAATAATGTTGATTACCAATAAGATCTATACTCTACATGTGACTAACATGATACACCGCCTACCTCTAAATAACAAAGTCATTGTTATAGTAATTAGATTATGAATCTCTCATTATGGTTGTCTTAAATAATCAATAACACTTTGTTCCATCATGGTAAATGTCTCTGGTACAAGAGGTCAGCCATAAAACTCTGTTTATTTGTGAAATGAGGTGTAGAGAATTTAAGATGGAAGTATAAGTAATTGAAGGAATGATAAAAATGTAATTAACAGCTGTGGTCAGTCATGTCCAGTGTATAATAATATAATTAACCTTATCAACAGTTGGTTGAAAATTCACTTCACCAGCTGCCTTACCAGACAAATTATCATGGTGTAAATAAATCATGACCTTTGACATTAGTTGATCATGCCCAGCTTACAGCCAATGTTGTAATCATATCACATGTCCTGATCTCAAGGATGAAGGGGATAATGTTTGTCTTAATGGGACATTTCACCAAGAATATTTAATCCATACAATAATACATTTTTGTAAACAAAGAATTTTAGAATTAAAAGTAATTGAGATTCGGTAAAAAAACCTATCACTTTGAATCTGCGTCTAAACCATATACATTATGGGAGATTCGGTAACGAGTTGGCAGTTCTCACTATAATAGTTAAAAACTACATAAAGTAAAGGTAATTTGCTGAAAATTCCATTCAAATTGATTCACCATGAACCGAGAACTAAGCGACTGAAATTCCCCCCTAGCCTGGGTTATCATTACTAAAGTCAGTACAATAAACAGCATAGTCTCGATTATCCATTTAATTGTTAAATCGGGAAGGAAAGTTATGCAGTAAATCGGCTCACAATCCACTAAAGATCGCAGGCTAGCTGCCATCTAGAGTTGATTATGGCCTGGATAGGTTAATTAATGTCTAATTAATAATTTAGATAACATTTCAGGCCTAAAGAAAGACCTTCAATAGTCAGATTTAGCTCTTGCATAATGTATGTTTAATTTGACTTTTTAAATTTCAAAGTGCAACTTTAGTTAAAGTAAGACTGATGCCTAATGTTAAAAGAAAGAATGGAAATTCTTTTGTGCCATTATGCTTACATAATTGATAAACTCAGACATCCAATCAAATAACAAATTAATTCTACTTCCCCAAATATCCTGTAAATCTAAGTTACACCCCACCCCCTAATTTTTTTGAATTTAGTTTATTTCTTAGACAATAAAATAAATATACATTACAAGTGTAACCAATAGTGGTACTAGCAAACAGTAGAAGGTCAATATAGTTTTTATCAATATAAATCTATGTACACAATTTCTAATTTAGGGATATTTCTCTTGGTTAATAAATTTGTTAAAAGTATAAATGATAACAATTGTGGTTACAGATGACATTGCTTAAGATAATTTAGTCGCAGAATGATTCACTAGATGAGCTAATGACCACATCAATATAAAACATAAAAGCAACTTTAAATAAATTATTCACAACACCATACACACCTAGCCAACAGAAAACACACAAACTTTAATCCTTAGTAACATTAAACTTATTTTATAAAATATAATCTACTGAGTAGTATAGTAGTTGCCTTCACCTGTCTCATAACTTTCAATTCATATCCATGGCAACCTAGACAAAAGCTCTTTGTCAAATCAGAAAATGTCATGTGTAACAGACAAGACTTTGATGTTTTTTCCTTGTGAATAATGCATTAAGGTGTGACAACTGGCTCAGCAGGACATTATTGTCAAATGAACAAAAGATCCAGAAACTAGCTTTTATTATCTTAGCTTTGCACATTTCCTGAACCTAAAATTACGAAAACATCAATAGAGGAGCAGTTAAAAAGTAATTATTTAAATTATGGATGTGTGTGTGTAGTCACAGCAGATTAGAAATTTATACAGAGTTGAAGGATAGATACAACCAAAATATTGACATGTGCTCCTATTTTGCTTTTGTATTATTGACCAGGTAATGTGATGTATCTCAAGGAAAAAAAAACTAATTAAGAAGATGACACATGACTATAAGTAATACTTCAATATAAAGGCTTTATGTATAATTGTGTTATTTTGAAACAGTCCCTTTTGCACACAGCTGATCACCTGACTAATTGGTAACAGATAAGTTTGTGAACCCATTAAAAGTATATATTCAATCCACCAGCAGTTAAAAAGTAATTATTTAAAAAACGGATGTGTGTACATTTGCAGCAGATTAGAAATTTATACAGAGACTGCATAAAATCAACAAAAATATTAATATGTGCTCCTATTTTGCTTCTATATTATTGACCACTATAATGTGAGATATATCTCAACACAAAAACTAATTGATCAAATGGCACATGACAATAAGTAATACTTCAATAGAAAGGTTTTATGTAAAATTATAATTGTGTTATCTTGAAACAGTCCCTTTTGTACACAGCTGATCACCCTGACTAATAGGTAAATGTCAAGTCAGTGAACACATTTAAAGTTAAAAGTACCCCCCCCCCCCACACACTCACCCCCCCCCCCCCCCACACACACACACAAACACACACCCCAAAAAACTTATTTAATATATTTCATTAAATTTAACATGAGAATCAATTTTCTTCTGTTTAACAATTTTTCCAAACCTATACATAAGCTTTAATAGATAATCAAAGTATAGTGTTTCTTCTTCAGTTTATTTTCCTCTTTCTTGGTTTTGAACATTCCTCATTATGTGAGGTTATCATCATGTTAAGACTACCATTAATTACAGTTGAGCAAACATGAATTAAAGCTCACTGATGCTTTTAAAAGATAAGAAAAAATAATTATATTATCAAGATTTTGATTCAACATAATAAGCACATAAAAATACTTGTCAATTAAATCTGAATGGGAATTAGATTCCCAAGCTTACTTTTGTACTATGAAATTCAATTTTTGTCTTATATTTTTTAAAATCCAGAATGAATAGGTATTACTATTAGTAATTCAGAAATGGGCTACTGCCGATTATTTCCACAACACTTCAATATTTTAAAGTAATTCATAAACAATCTGGTACAAAGTGAAATTTAATTTGTATGAACACTGTAGGTGTAAACAAAATTGTACACTATCTTTACGATACAAAACTACAATTGTTGAATGAGTATTGGTAACTTAATTTTAAAACTTGAATAAATTTTACAGTATGTATACTTGCTGTTAAGGACTAGACAAACAACAGACAATATTACAATAAATCTGTTGAGGCTATAAATTGTCAGAAAGCCCTGCTTGTTGAGCTTATAAATTGTCAGAAAACTCTGCTATCATCTCCTAAAATAGACAGAGAATTAACAAGGCAGGGAGTGAACCCGCACTGTCAAAGCAATTTATATTCATGACTTTAGATGTACCTTATGGAGGAAAGAGACCTGCTATGAATCATGATGCAAGCTGATAAATCGCAAGAACAAATCCATGATGTGGAGGATAAAAAAAGATCTCTTGGTGTTAAATATTGATTGAATAGAAAGAGTGCAAGTCAATGTTACACAAGGTACACCCATCTGACAGGACAAACACTTTCTATTGATTTATTACTAGTTACATCTGCACACCAACTTTACAATGAAAATTAACAATTAGCCTCCTTCATTAAAATCCACCACCATCAGTGACTGGCCAAGTTATCTCAATATGGTCATAATATTACTTGGCTTAAAACACTACAGATTACCAAACACATTAACTTTCCATCAACAATTCAATTTATTGCCGCCTTTTCTAATATCACTGAAGATGCACAAGGAGAAAATCATGCTATTAAATTCCAATGGCCAATGCGTGATTTATTTTGTGCTATCTAAAATCCCAGAAGAATTTCTGAAAACTTCAATGACTCATGCAGCAAATTAAATTGACAAGGTTAACAATTACCACTAATATAAAAACCTGTTCTATTTTCATGAATAAAAATCATTTTGCCTAGAAACGTGATCAATGAGTTGATTAGTTACCCAATAACAGAAGATCAGTGTGTCAGTACCAGTATTATTTATTTATCAATACAAGTTAATCATTTTGAGTAAATACAACCTTTGACCTAAAATAAATAATGAAAATAATAATTCAGCATGACAAGCTCCCTGAAACAAGTATAGTGTAAAAAAAAATCAATATGGTTCATTTATTCAACATATTGACCCGGCATTACTTGTCTTCAATATGGTAGAATAACCCAAGGCCATCAACCTGGAATATTTACAATATCATCACTCAGACATGGAAAGATGCACAAGCTTAAAATTACACCCAAGTTTACTGATAGACAGGAAACAATGAATAAGCCAGGGTATCATCTTGTTGGACTAATGAACTCCAGCCACTGAATTAATGAGTGATCTCCAGGCTCTTATCTTCACCATTAAAAGGTAACCCTTAAGATTGAGGTCATCAAAACTGGCTGGGTAAAATTAACTTGCCATACTATTTAATTTTTCTAACTCTGTTAGCAGGGAGTAATTTATGATACCCTTAAGACAATTACTGGTAACAGCATAATGGCTTGATACTTTTATATATACAGCTACTAAACTATTTATTGCAAATAATGAACTCGGGCCTTGATCTATTTTCATCCCTTTAATATTATCATGATTAGTGTTGCAAAAATGAGAAAAAAAATGGATGTAGTTAAGGTTGTTTCTGGCACATAAATTGATGTTAATAATAATAATTTATTTATAGAGTGCCTATAATCCAATATTTTTTGTTGCTCTATGGTGCTATTATATTATGGTAAAGTACAAAATAAAAATTTCTATATCAGACTTCTATCTGTGAAACGTAATACATGAATGTGTTTGGCAACAATCAATTTTTACCAGACATCAAAATGGATCACAAATCAATATGGTAATAAAATCAAGCACATTACTGGTGGTCAGTAACTGTAGAAATCTAGAAATCCATTACACAGTATTAGAACTATATGCATCCAAAGTAACCCAAGATGTTAATCTTATTCATGAATGACAGTGTGGTACACTTGAGAATGCTAATTTCCTGGTAAATGAATTAAAGAGGCATTATCACTTCACTAAGAAAATATGCATTGAAAACAAACTTAGACTCACCTAATTATTGAAAATCTAAACACTAGAGTTCAAAGGAGCAAAATTTTAACAGCTCGTAAATTGAAAGATTATACATCTATGACTTGGCAGATTTGTCTCTGATATGCATACTGGTAAAATCTTTTTTGAACATCCCCAAAATAACTAAATATTCAAATCACATTAAAGGAGATATCATTTATCAACTGGTTAAGACCCTGAAGGCCGATGCCTCTTTATATAAATAGTAAAGTATGTTAGTGATAATTCAGTAAGTGTATAGTACCTTAATTCTATTACCAGGTATAGTTTGAAATGGCAGGGAAAAAATATGATATAAGCATAAAATAAAGATAAGTTACCAGCATATGAAACATATACCCACAGCAGCCAAGTTGTCCAAGTAGTCAATAAGTATTGTCGCAATTTGAATCTTTAAGTAAATAAAAAGCAAAATCTTGATACCATACTGTTGGCACATTGACTAGATTCTATGACATATTCAAGAGTGATAACACAATAAGTTATTATCAGGAATTGATGTAATTGTTACTCATCACAATAATTGAACCAAAAGAACAAATCAGATGATAACTTTTGCGATTAAATTATTCACAAGTTTTTACAAAGTGAGCAAGGGGCCATAATTCTAGAATTAATTAATGGGTACTGATAGGCTTTTCATTTCAGTGATCAGATCCATTTTGAACAATGAACCGACAGATGTGGGTGATGACAATACACAACCAGATTTCCATGTGGGCATATAAAAATAATATCTACACAAAGAGTGCATGATACTTTCTTGCATAATAATCTAACAACTTGAAGTTCTTTTTAAATTTTTTTATCTCAACCCATTTTCCTCATCAGAATTCAAATCAATATTCACAAGCTTGCATCAGTCCTGGAAATCTCCAAGGAAACGACATAGTTAAATCTATTGTAAACATGCATCAATGATATGGGTTGAGGTAAATGTGGAAGTTGAATCACGCAGAACAGACAATATTATAATAAGTAATATTGAACAAATATTTAGGTTATATTAAGCAGAAAAAACTTTTCATTTATGTTTGCATCTAGCAAGCATTATTCTCTGTAACAAGATGTTATTTTTGACAATGGGTAGCTGCTATAAATTGTATATTATCTATGTAGGTCACACGTTTAGTGAATGCTGTAAACAGGGCTAGGATGTCTTGTATTTCCTGAAACTAATCCTATTGGGTTCAACTTATGATATTTATGGCTACCAGATGATGGCTGCCTTGTTTTTCTCAGTCCTATCAAGTAAATAGTTTGTGAATACCAGCCTACATGTACAATAGTCTCTTTCTTTTCTACCACCCAGTCCTCCTTATAACAGTAAAAAATAACATCTTTCTCCATTAATCTTATGTCAACATTCTACAAGAATTTAAATCGGCAGAGAAAATAATGTAAATATTGTTTAAGCCACCAGACAACAACATCAGCATTAATAATCATGACCATCACCAACATCTGTTATCTGTAATTCCATGATAAATTTAGAACAATATAATAGAAAAATTTTGTCTTGGTGTAAGCATTCTTATTTACATGTAGTTACAGCCTTGTTCATTATTTATTAACATGCATAAACATTAAATGACAAAATTAGACATTTATATAAAATTATCACAATTCTTTTTGCCTAAAAGACCGAGAACTGAGTTTTGGTAAGTTCTTTTTCAGAATAGTTATGAATGTATTCACAGCAACATAGCCAATTTGAAATGTTGCCGATTGTAGACTCTAGAATGAGTTGTAAGTTTACTTACTCTAGCCTATGGTATATCTGGTATTATTATGACAGTCTGTAACCAGAACTTCCGATGAGAAACGTGTAACTCATATGATTAATTTTAATAATTTTATAATTATAAATAGCAGTCAGCATGTACTACTTTATATTTCTAAACACCTTCCACATAGCATCATGCACAAACGGAAAATAAATTCAAGGCAACAGAAATACTTGAAATAAACCCAAAAACATTTACATGTACTACATTTTGTCTTCAACTGTATTTTTAACTGTTTGTTCAGCTCAAAAACAAAAAGTATGCTTTAAGGAGCTTGGCAGTGAATTGCATATTTGAAAATGATCTGACTATCAAATATTGACTTGCCAATGTCTAAATTTATAACAAGCTTTTTTACTGTAAATATTTATGACTTGTTCAAGTCAGAATGTATTAATATTATGTTATGTTTATGTATATTATACATATAGGATAATATAAAACCAGACAGAGCTAGGGTGAACGTGACATGGAGATATATAGAATATAGATTAGATGTACCACGATTGCAATTTTAAAAAGTTTTTATCTTTTGTATTTGACAACAATATATCAATCTAAGTGAAGGTTGGTTGAAGTAATGCACTGATGTATGTTGCACAATATCAATCTAATGAACACATCTATAGAAATACAAGCCACTTGGCGCCATGCTATTCACAATCTACTGATTTTCTAAACTGATTGTGATGTGAATTAGAATAGAAGTTTGGACCAATGTACAGTATTGAATACATATAGCCCTGACGTTAATGTCTCATCTGAATGCTATCACAATGGAAATTCCACCTTATTTCCTGCCTCATTCTAATATTAATTACTTGAATACGATCGATGAGTCTTCCATCAACTAGATACTTCATTGTGATCGAGGTGGATATGGACAGACACATTAAGAAGGAGAATAAATATGTGCTCATAAAATATTGATCAGCACTACCCACACTTCAGCTGATTCCATGTGATATAAAATAACACATAATTGAAATGCCAGTCAGTATATAGAAGACAGAAAAATAGCAGAATAAAAACAGATCTAATCTGTCAGAATAATAATATAATATTTGGAAACTGACTGTTATCTTAAAATCTTATACATGTAACAACAGGAACCTACTTTATATTAATATGTATGAAGGAGATACAAAACCTAAACACCAAGTACTCTCTTAGTAGTGGTTAACATTCATGGTGGTTTACAACCCTTTCATTATCAACTAATGGGTTTATTAATGCAAATTCTGCTTTTATTATAAACTTAAAATTTAGTTTCTGTCAGTATAAAACTATAATAAATTCATAGAATCAGGTAAGAGTTTAATAGATTGAAATAAGAGTTAAGTCTAGGTTTTTCAACTATATTCACTGTTGAACATTTTTTTTTTCAAGTATTGTATTGATTTCATTATAACATTGGTACTGGGTAGACTAAAGAAAAACACATAATGTACAATGTTAATATTGGATTTAATGAATAAAGATTAAATAGATGACCTACTTTATGCAATATATTAATCATTTGTAAGGTCAAGTCATGCGAAGATCAAAATTAATAAGTAGTATGGTATGGCAAGGTGTATAGTGTAAAGCAAGTCCTATACGTATTACTTATTCTTGTAGTAAATTAATAATATGAAACTTGAAAGAATAACATTCTCAAGGAATAAAGTATTGATCTAACTTCAAATAACATATATTATTATATGAATTAGTATTTTCTGTAATTATAACTTGTAGCATGTGGTTTCTCCTAATGATAACTTGGCAAGGTCTATTGATTATGCATAAATAAATCCATTTCCTAACTGTATCTATACTGCGCTTGATATTTTCTGTCCTGTTCATTAAGATTTGAATTGGTCAATCATTTCAAAAGAAATGTTTATCACTTTTCACACAATCATATGTTTAAAATCTGGACAGTGTAGTTTAATGCATTTCAATTAAAAGCATGAACTCCACAAATCATATATTGTGCAACAATTGGAAATAAATTAGTGATTTATAAATAAATGTATTTGTATATAATAATTTGGATTTCAATGCACAATAATCAAAAAACTATTCAAAATCTAACAAATTTATTTAAAATAAATATTATTCTCACCTGGTATATCTGAAATTCTTTTTCTTCAACTAATCCTAAATGTCTGTCTAAAAAAAATTCAACAGGTTTCCTCTTACTGTTGCCTAGAGCAGCTTTATCAACCAATGGCTTGAAAGACTGAAATGAAATATATTAAAACAATAACAAATTGATTTATAATATCTCGCTTATAAGAAAATGCAATACATCTAATACCAAACACTGACTATAAACGTCAAAAAATGACAGTGTATCATTCAAAATACTGAAATAGCAACCTTATTCATCTGAATGAAGAAAACACAGGAAAACAAGTGGATGTATTCTGTATCTGTTGTTTTTCTTATTAAATGCAGGGTATTGTTATTGCACATTAATCAAAAAGATTCAGGATAACATGTCCAGTTACTAAGGTTACCATTTTTTCTAATCATGTTATCAAAGCAAAGTCCAAAATAGAATGTGGAGTATCAAGCAAGGCCTACAACATTACTGATTTACATTGGACTTTAAAACATAACAAGCTAATAACAGACAAAGGGAGATAACTCATACCATTTAATCATTTCATGGAAAACATGGTGATATTTAAAACTTTTAAACTTTATCTATTGACTCTAATTTACTGATATTGTATATTATCTATCACTAAAATACATATCCAAATTAACATTTGAAATCATATAGAGCATGGTTTTCTGCTGACACTGAAATTTTGGTATTTACAACAGTCGGAATGGCATTTTTTTCCAGAACCTTACTCAGTAATTAATGTAAGCTACAAATGTTAGGAAATAAACAAACATCTGACAGTATTTAAAATGACATCACAATCACAAAGGCTATAATAGACATAGGCGTACATGGCAAATTTCCTTGGGGGGTGGGGGGCGTATTATTTTTGCCCAAAAAATACTGCGGCAGTGCCCGAAACATGAACATAACTTTACCAGAGAGTGCCCGATGAACAATCGATGAAATACGCTAAGAACTAATATGTTTACATTGAATGATCTCAGTGTATCATTCATCATCACACCTAATTAATAACTTTGTATATACACACCATTCTAGACCAAATACATAAGATTGTAGTAATCTATGTAGCAAAACAACCCAGTTCATTTGGACATGAATGTTGGAGAGAGATTAAAATGAAACGGTATTTACGATTCTTGCTGTTAGCAATGACAATATGGATGCTTTCTCTGTGCTGAAATTTTATTGTTTGGAAGCCATGTTCCCAGTCACCGTCATTTATTGGTTTGAAATAATATCGTAAATTACGAAAATCCACATGACAAGAGAACAAAGAGTAAAATGTGAATTGCATGCTGTTCATAATCATATTTCGCACCAATCAAAACAATGAATTAGCTGATGGTAAAAGCCTCAGTCACAGCTGTGAGACTAAAATCACAAAATAATCGTAGTAAAATCTTGAAAAAAAACCCAGCAAGTAGTGCCTAGCGGAGCAAATTTTCTGAATCAAAATCATAATTGTGTGATTTTCTGAAACACTGAACTCCGGTTGGGAATTGTATCACCCCACCACATAGTCACTTAAAGTACCGGATTTCAGGCACTTCATTTTGCGGGATAGAATAATTTTCATATTTCTTCTTTTATATCCACTAAAATTTTATTTTTTATATCATTTGGCCACTCTCAAAAAATCTGATGATTGTTCCACAAAAATTGCACAGAGGAAGATTTGTCAAATTTTTTTTTTTTTTTTTTTTTGAAACATAAATAACAAAAAAAATTAAATTAAACTTAAATGTAAAATCATTCTGGAAAATTTATTTTAACTTTTGTTTATATTTATTCCACTTGGGTCCTATTTTTTAAGAACCTCAGAAAATAATTTGAAATTAAATTATTTTTTCTAACTATCTGTAATTGATATAGAAGGAGTGCTATAGTAAATTTATTAGCATATTTTTGTTAAGACCTGTGACAGCTGTTCAATACAATTGTCAACAATTTTGATATCTTCAACCAATAAATCTACCATAATAAATGAAATTTAATGTATATGTATACATGTAGTTTTCAAATTTAGCACGAAAATAATCAATACTTGCATTGAGGAATATCTAGCCTGTTTTATTGATTTTTTAAATAAACCTTGTAATCATTTAAACTGCTAGTCACACCACATATTTCTTAAATAGCAGGCTGTATTTCTTTTTAATCTTAACAGAAGATATTTCTATCCTGCCTCTCATATTTTTCATAACTATAATGAAGGAGAAATTCTAAAATGGCTGATAGATACATGTAGTCAGCTGTATTTTCTTGTATAAAGACATTGTAAACAAGTGTTTTGAGACAACCCCTATAGAAACTGTTATCTACATGAGCAACCAATAAAAAGAAGGGTCATGGCTGTAGCACACAGCTCCTATTTCAAGCAGACATTTTGACAGCTACTTCAAACCACTGTGGCCTAGTTTTTGCTTTTGGCATTCATAATGAACAGACTAATTTGAATGCTAAGAAAGATATTTTTAGAGCTTACTGGCTTTGACTAGAAGATAAAATCTGACTTCCCAGTTAATTATAGGTAAAACTGGGGCAAATGATTGAAGCAAAATTTTTCGAATGTTTTTTTCTAAAACAAATTTAATAAATTTTAAGATAACTCAAAGCCTCCATAAGTTTTCATTGTATTCAGGAAAGAAAAAATAGAAATTTTGACCATTTTTCATTAAATTTCAAACTAATATAAATATCTTAAAAGTCTCTGAACTTTATTTGATGGATTGTTAATCCCTTGCAAACCACAATACTCCTGAAGCAATGGTCCGAGAAATCCCTCTCTAGCCATTGCTGTACTGAGAGCGAAATCTAGGGTTTTTGATGGAGTGTGTCTATTCAATTCTCTCCTGAATACAGTGGGTATTCAGCAGCCACTCAAGGGAATTTTCATGACTGACTGCTTAACAGGAGTGACCCCCTTATAAATTTCAGTGTTTGTTAGTAGGCATACTGGTATCAAGTAAAATTGTACGCTTGGATGCATAGGAGCAAACATCGATACTTGCATCGGTAAATTGTGCCGTCGCTGAAGTTAGCTATAGGAGCGAAAATTCTTTGATTTAAATCTCTGATATAAATCTCCTATATAAATGCTGTAAACATGTCTGTACCAACATTAATTACTGCCCACGCACCTTTGTTACGTATTCATTTTTATTTTATCAAAAAAAAACTGTGGGAAGTCGTATTTCTATCCAATTTGAAAAACAATATGTAACATGACAGTCCATCTCTTTGATCTGGTGTCATCCCTAAAACTCAGGACTGTTGATTAAATGTATAAAAAGATGGTGAAAATATTGTTCGTCTGCTGTGTGATCAAACATTATGATAGACATATTCCATGTGTGGTGATTATACAATGTTCAGTATTTCTGCAATATTCTACTATGCGCTGGTTAATTGAGCATAATAAATTTCGCACGTTACAACTAATGTAGCCACTAATATCATTATATACTTTTACGTTAACATAATAGAGCTCTTGTTAATCCCGACAGATTTGCTAAGTTCTAATGTATTGGTTGTTGACTGGACTGTCATAATTTGGGACAGAGATTTGTGGCGAGTCTGGCAATGTTTGAGTGGGATTAGGTCTAATCAAACGAAACACTGTGAGGAGTATGCAATACCATGGAAGGTGGATCTCTAAAAGGAATGTTTGTTCAAAAATGGTCCAATTGAAATGATAAATTGAACATTTTGCAACCCCTATAATCAAGATGGTGCTATTTTTAAGTTTCACAGTAATCTTTTGATAGGCCTCTTTTTCATCTCATTGAATCTAAGACGGGAGGTTGATAATTTGATTTTATTCTTAATTTAATACTAAATAATCACTTAATTAAATGTTAAATAATCAGTCTGAGTAGATTTTAGCGTGGAATAAGCAATGGAAAATTTCTGAATAATGCAAATGATGCACAGTGGCTTTAATGATGATAGTGATGGTTTTTGTTGGGGTTTTTTTCTAAAAGAAGTGTTTGATGATGGGCGATGCGTTTGTTTGTATCTAAAATTTTGAAAGTTCTATACTGACATAAATCAGACAAAAAAGGAATGAAAATATTTAAACCTGTTCAATTTGGGATTTCCTCCTATTGACATTACAAATAGAAGTAAACAGGCATACAGACAGTCTGACCAAAGACATTTAAAAAATGAACGGTGGAAAACTGAAAGAAGGATTTAAATACAAAATCTGTATGTTTTATCTGATATAAATCTAAGAGTCATATCTTACTAAACTATATTTAAGTATTCAAGACAAATAGATTCACATAGTAAATAATGAAAATTAACTTTCCCTTTGATCTCTATTTGCTTAATTAATAAAAATTCTATATTAGGACTTCATGTAAATCATCAACACTATTTCAAAACATCCTTCATAAACAAGCCAGGTATTCTTTTTTTTTCCAACCTGTGACAAGATACAGACTTGTTTTGTTTTTGCCTAGGCCATTAACAAAACAGATACCTGTATTTACCGTAAGTGTAATTAACAGCATGTCATGTATAGGTACATACTGGTATATTTGATTATTCTACTGATTATGGTTCACTAATGAGCATTTAAATTATTATTAAAATGACGGTAATATCCAAATAACACTACTAACAACATGAACACAATATAATTGTATTGGGAGGGGAGGGGATGGGAAGATGGGAAGAAAGAGTTGGGGTGAGGAAGCAGTAAAATATGGGAGGGTTTAGGTAGGTGGCAACAATGTGCCCTGTGAAGGACTTATATTACCAACAAAATTACTGGAAAAGGAATCACAGAATAATGACTGTTCTAACCATTGATATAAAAAAATTGTTCTTCATATGAAGGCAAACAATACTTTCTCGTTGCATCAGTGATTAGTCACTTACTGGTTATTCACATCTTCCTGGTATTAATATACCCAAGTTTACATTCAATGTAAATAACTTTAGTCATTGACAAATTGGCAATATTTGCCTAAGACCATGTGTCTTAAAAATAAAACAGCACAGACATTGGTAATTGCTACATGTAACTGGAAATGGAAAGGTTTTTTTCTCAATTTGAAGTGTTGTATACAGTTTTGTCATACATTTTGTATTAATCCATTTGATAAGAAGGATCGTGATTCATGTATTAGTATTACTATTTATACCATAATACAAAGAACCTTAAAATCTGCAATTTATCTCTTCTGCTGTATATTAAAGTATTAAAGGGATTCTACTGCCTGTTAGTTGTCATCAGATCCACAGATTTAGAATGCAATGTATATAGAGACTATACATGTACATGTAAGTATAAGGAAAGTGTTACCCAAATTGTAATTAAACTTTGGATGTCACATGTATTTGTAACCACACTGTTTACAAAATAAAATACTTTTCACCACAGCATTTACGAATAAAGATTACCTTGTAAGCAGAGTGTTTACAAATTAAGATTAAAGCCCTCTTTTCAATAGGTTTTGGTTGATTATTAGTTACAGACTTGGTCATCTAAACCAGTGGTTTTTAAGTTTCAACCTTTTTATATGTGAGGACTGTTGAAAATACAAAACCGCACAAATGAAAAACAGTCATTTATATAGTTTTTGTGGATTCAAAAATATAATATTCTTTAGCTGTATAAATAATCAGAAACAAGTAATAAATAGAGAATAATCTCAGAAATAGAACATCTTGAAATTTTGAGAAACTGTGCTAATGCTACCAGTCACATCAAAAATTTATGTTGGCTTTAGTTTTTGGCTGTTTTGGCAATTCTTTTTCACAAGTGGCAGAAAATAAATTTTTTAATTCTTATCATATTTTATCCTGGAGTGAGTGAGTGACCATTGTGTGGAGTGTCCATCACCAATACAGTGGCATGCTATAAATTAATAAACAAGCAGATAATCTGGAACGTGTCAACGAGTAAGACTAATCGATTGATTTGGATTAATAGTTTCAGTTAATTGGTAATTGCCAATAATAACGCCCATCCCAAGTCTTTATTTAACCATATATAATTAATCCAAGCAAACAGATTAGTAGTGAATAGTTGATGTTTCATTTTGTGTTAAATAAAGGGTAATAATCAAAATTTGTTTTAGAAGAGAATTAGATGTTTTGATAGTTGAATTTCTTTTCAATCGCATGTACCGGTATACATGTATCAGCATGGGTAATTTGACATCATTATTTAAAGTCAAACTATTATGGTTCAGAAATGTAAGAGTGGGCTTGAATGAGAAAACGGTCTGCCTTTTTTTTTTTTAATTACCATAGCCAAAACGTTCTTAAGTCACTGAGTCTGACGTTAGGGCCTCTTGACCATATGGAATTGAAATTTCTATCAATGAATCTGATTCTGATAGAGTTCCATGTACAATATCCGAAATGGAAATAACATTCCATTGCAAAATCTAAATTCATTGAAAATTTAACAAACTTAAAAGGAAAATCAAGCCTCTATATTATCAAATTTAATGGCTATTTAATAAAAAACCTAAAAGCAGACAGGCGGTTGAAAACCACTGTTGGTACACAACAAGAGGCAATTACCCCTGTTCCGCAATCCTATTCAAATATGCTGAATGGGAATATTGTTTAAAAAAAACCCCCAAAACCCAAGTCAATAATTGTAGATGAGCTGGACTGTCTTACTGAAAGCTAATTTTCGATATTGAGAGGGAATACAAAATATGGTGAAGGCTCTAATTTAGCCCAACATGATTAATAGGGAGTGGGGGTATTTACTTTAATTGTTTTTGATTTATAATGTTCATTTTGATTAATGTTTCATTGTAAATTTGTTACAGTCATATATTTGTTTTATTGTTAATAAATGACATTTTATACCATATCAAGATGTTTTAGTTGATTCTTGGATTGAGGCACACAAATGCACATAACACGATGCATCCATTGCCTAACAGTGCCCTTCACTTTCTGATACATGTATATGTATTCACAAACAATCTAGGTTTTTATGACAATGCAGAAGTATGTCCCAATGGCACATTATTATGATTTGTTGAATGCTAATATGTCAATGGTTAAAACAAGCATTTCAAATTATCTCTGTATAGAATGAAATGATAAAACCATACAAATATTAAGTTACATTATATTTATGGCTTTACAAGGAAACTTACCAATCCTGGCCAGATTACTTCTGTTTGTGGCTTATTAGGGTCAGGTCTATAAGCCCAAACTAATGTATGTTCTACCCAAAATATCTGGAAAACTTCATGCACTTTAATCCATTCGCGTTTCTGCCAATCACAGTCATCAAATTCAACCAATACCTGTCAATATAACAATATACATATTAATTACTTTGTTTAAAGTAAATATCTAAATACAAAGTAAATACAATTTTTTTTTAATTTTTGATTTAAGATTTCATTAACCTAATCTGATTTCAAGAGCAATGCATGACAAGGATATAATTTTTAGGTTTTCGGAAATCTGTATCGCCTCCATACACAAGTAAAATGCATAATTAAATATGGCCTGACCAAGTAATAAAGTATGCTATATAATACACATTGATCTTATAGTAAATACACTGTATAGTGGTAGAAGAAGTAGTAGTAGTAGTAGTAGTAGTGGGAAGGGACATAACTCCTTAAATTAATGGTTATCAGTTGTTCATGTCATAAGTTCTTACCATCAAACTAAAACATACTATTACATTGTAGATGTACCTGTAGTATCATTAATAATAATAATAAAAAAAGACATTAAAATTCTATATTTCATAAAACTGTAAAAGCAGAAAAGCAAACAGTACTGAAACCAAAGAGAAATCATGAAGAAACCAGATACTGACTGAATGATATCATAATTGGGTGAACAGTCCACCTGTAATGCTGTACAGTTGTAACTGAATAAATATTAGGTTTTCATCAATTTAAATCTTGAATTATTTGTATATATTGTAGAGATAAAGAACAAGCTCACACAGCAGATTATTTGTGAAAATTAAGACTGAATGTTTTCCCACGGTGCATAGGGTATTGTGAGATATATAATATGGTGAAATATGTATATGGATTGTGATAAGTAACATGTGGCTTGTCTGTAATGTAGAGTTTGCCAGAAATAACACATGCCTGCCTTCCAGCTACAGCATTCATATCAACTTTTAAGATATCAACAAATTTACTCTCTCACCTAGACATGGCAAAAAGTGTGAAACTAAAGAGAAGAAATTCATAGATATTTTTTCTTCACACTAGACCTTAGCTTCGCTTCCATGCTCTCCATAATCTATATAATCAAGCATAACCCTTCAGTATTCTATAGTTATTTCCAAAATAGGGGGGGGGGGGTATCCCGAACAGCACAATTTTGGCATCTGTCTTTAAAGTTACTAGGTCTCCACATACATGCAGACTGCAATTTTGAAACGGTGCAAAGCTTTTCAGGTCTCCCTTCTTTTTTTGTTGATTTGTACATTGTTATGCATTTGTAAGGCACTATTTTCCCATATCACTAAAATATACTTTCATAGATCCCAGGTTCAAGACTAACAATCAGTGGGCATATTCTAAGTTCTAGTTCTCTAGACATGTAAATCAAATGGTTACTATTGTAACACATATGTTAAGTAAATTTATTTTATCATTCACAACAGTATCATAAAATTGAATTCTTATCCACCACATTTACACATTATCAACCATTCTTTTCTTTCCATTTCATTTATCAGCAAGCTTTTGTGTAAAGGTTTGAAACTAGGGCCTAAGGGACATTAGCATGTATTGATTTATTAAGCTGTGAGTCTGTGACCTCAACACTATAGCTATTTCACATGATATTGATTTTAATCATTACCAAGCATGTCTCCCAATACAATGTGGTTCATACTCTCTCTCCAAGCATTGACCAACCAAGTTTAAAATGGTTTACAGAAAAACTTCGTCACAATAAACAAAGAAAGCAGATTAAAACATTAATCAGCTTCTTATTTTATACAAATAAATAAAATGTTATCATTTTTCAAATTATCTAACTACTAAATGTTGAATTTTAAGATTTATCCATGTAACTGATTTAAACATTGTTGGATGATAGGTCACATTCCTTAACAGCTGCCATTGTTATTTACACTAAGGAAAGTCTGAAGTCTTTGAGTAAAAAATGCTCATCAATGAACTCAGTAAAGGCCAAGAGGATTCACCCAATAAACACCTACACCAAATAATCATCATCGAACTGTCGAACAGGCATACATTCAATAAACACCTACATGTACAGGAAGTATGAACATTGTAGCTCCATTAGAAGCTGAGTTATTGTGTTCCCAAAAATGTGGTAGACGGACAAACCCATTTTAATAGTCCCCTTTAAATGGAGACTATAACCTCCCAGTATGTAGGTGGTTAGAAATTTAAATTGAAATGTGAGGGGAAATAATGTAGTACACCCATGTATGCCTATCAAAGAAAGTGATATATGTGAACACAGACACTTTGGTTATAAAATTTTCTTCCAGTAAACTATGTTTACAGGATTTTGAGATAAAACTTTGGGTAAATCCTTAGATGCACATTTTTCATCACAATCTTTTATATGCACGAAGGTTCTTTTCTATATAGAATATCTATAATCTAAAGTCAAAAGTTTACAAGACCTATATGTACATATATTTAAAAGTGTAGATAGATTGTTAAAGGCTATGGTAGACATGATGAAATGACTTTTAGTGTGTGGCAGGTGTTGGCACACCGCCAAATAACAACATGAAGCCATATGGTGAACTAAATATAACAGAAAATTTACTTTTGTAAAAACATGTAAAATAATAGTCTTTATTAAAATAATAAAAAAGATTCAATCCTTCGAAGCTCTAATTTCCATTGTTCATATGAATAATTGACCATAAAGAGTTGTCAGCAATTAGACTTACACTGGTGTACATGAACAGGATTGAAAATAGTAATGGTGAGTACTGTTTGTCAGGTAATTTGTAGGCAAAGGTTCATGACCTAGGTAAGAATTGTGGTTATATACTATACTGTACATTGGGGTGGACATAGGTCAGTTTCCCCCAGGTGGGCTTTTAAGTATTTATGGTAGATTTATGAGAACTGTACAATAAATACATGTAGATGTCAATAGTTGAATAAAGATTTGGTTTGACACTGAATAAGAGAATACCAAGACTTTTACTTTTATTAGTTTTATAGCGACATTTTGATTGTTCACTGAATAGAATAATGTTGATAGTATATTCACTATAATGTGAAGTGTTAATGTCAATCACACCACATTGTTTTATTTGTCTGGTTCTCTTGACTTCATAATTCAGACTTTAATAATATTTACAAAATTGCATTTATTGAGATGTTATTAAAATCAATATTTCATACTTCCTATGAAGCTATATGATATAGTCTGAAAGAACTAATACTGTCAGTGTTCCGAGGTGTACATTGCACCACAACTTCAAGAAGACATATTTTGTCTTCGACTTGAAAGTATTGTTCAGTTCAAGTATTTTCTGATATAGGAGGTCAAATTATCAGTAACAGATGATTAATCAGTACTAGTCATGTTGATGGAATAATTTCCAGTTGAAATTTATCAATAAATCATTGAATGAATGATTTAGACACTGACCAATAAAAAAAATCAATACATACCCAATTAATCTGGGTCTACATGTACTTCAAATGATACAATATTCAGTGAACCAAGTACATGCAACCACCAGCATTAATATACATAAATATTGAAACAGAATCACATTTTGAAAACAGAACAAAATTTTAACCTAAATTATTTCTGATCATGTCACAGACTTATAATTTGCATGCATTCTGGAACAAATCTATTAACATCTGTTCCAATGATAGTAATAATCTGAAAATATAAGGAAAATTCCAAATATATTTCAGTGAATAAAAGTTGTTAATTCTGTTGTGCAGAAAGTTCCTAGAAGCCATTATTCAAGTCCCCAGCAACTACATGCAGCTCTGTAATACTTTCTTAAAGATATAGCAATGATTAGTTCAATAGTTGACAGGTTGAGTTGGAGACAAGCTTCTTGACATTGACGAGCAATCACCTACATGTAGTGCCTGGATAAAACTGGATGAAGTGTGGTTCAACATCCTACTTTTCTGCAACGACTGGGCACATGAAGACGGCATAAATCATAACGCGATACAGTGTACTATAAGGGAAATTTTACCTAGACAGCCGCACTTTGGCCTACTCTTACGTGCACACCACCATGTACATTTTCTTACGTTTTATTGTCCCATCCAAAAATATTGCTGTAGAATTCTGGGGAACACCGGGATCGAACCCCTTTGAATCATGATATCAATAATATCTACATTGCATCTAATGTGTATCCACAACATATTGATACCAAATTCTGACTGTAAATTTATGGAAATACTCCTTTCAGTATAATATATCAAGTGAAAGTACAATGTACACAATTATAATCAGAATTCAAAAATGGTCTTGCATTTAAAAAAAACAAACAAGCAATACATGTAGACTAGCCTCCAGTCAATACATGTACATGTAGTAATGCTAATTACAAGACAAGAATGTAATGTGTATTAAAATTGATGTGACCCACATTATATACCACCCTTGTTTAAAATGAGTGATTTCTTGTAATTCTCACATAGGTAAGAAAATATTTACCAGATAATGATATCATTATTATGCTATCAATGACACAGCACTATTGATTATTATAGGTTTGATGAGTGTTTTCTTTGACAGTGCCACTGATTTACTAGTAAAGTATATACATGTACTCCTGCTCCATACACATTTTGTGTTCGAGAGAATGTTTAAAATATAAATTATAATTTAGACATTTATTCACATGACAAGCCCATAATCAATTCTCTAGACCCTTGTATGGCTGAGATATTAATTGGATTGGACCGTCCGCGCCATTTAATCGGTTAACGTTAAAAGAGACGTCTTTCCCTAAAAGAACTGACAATCAAGACTTTATTATCATGAAAATGGCACATTGTACATGACAATTTGCTATTTCTGGTCAAAACGTCACACACTTGTAACTACATCTACGGTAAGAATAAAGTAATTTGACTTTGACTTAAACTCCCAATATATTCCTTTTTCTATTTTTTGAACTATTATAGCAAGAATGACTATCTCTTTATCTAAACCTTACATAATACATCTATAAAACAAATGGTGATAAATGTAAGTGGCATAATTCACATTCATTTCTTGGTCACATAAGTTGTGTGTTTCACAGTATCCTTGATAATAAACTAATAATAAATGTTTGTTTTGTTTC